ACATATATAAAACAAGAAGAAAACAGCGCTTAATAATCTAAATGATCAACTGTATATGCGGCTTGTATGAAAACCGGATAAAAACAATAACGACAGCACATTCATCCATTCAGTGCGAACAATACAGCGAAGACCATCTACGGTATACATATTTAAAAAAGTCTTTTAACGAAAAACGTCTCTAGCATATTTATCCAATGTATACAGCAACACAAAACTAACTGGCAGAATATCCACAGTGAAATAGAGAGAAATAAGTGACAGAGGGTAATCTCAGTGGCCTTTCAGTTAGTCACTCGATCGGTCGTATAAGTGAACCTACCGAAACACAGTCAGGAATCCACCAAGACAACACGAGTCACTCAGAACCACAAGATGTTTAATGAGGGTTATCGTTTTTTAGCAAAATTCACCAAGACATAGACACTAGAAGTTGGTCAGTTTTAGTTTTTTATGTATGCAACCGTTAATTTTCATTCAACTCCTTTGAGTAACATTTCATTCGAAAGAGCGTAGAAAACTGAACAAAACCTGATCTTTAGAAAAAAATATTACTCCCTAAAGAGTGGTACTCGGAAAAAAGAATTTTACTGAAATTTTGAGGTTTTGAAAAACCTGGATAGTCAAGCAACCAAACGTTGGGGTTAATGAAAATTTGATATGCTATAAAGCAAACAATTCTGCACCTTTTGCATTTGTTAAGAGTAACAAAGTCGGCACAAATCGGGATCTGAATGCTCCCACAAGATCCAAAGCTGAAAAGGACCAAACATAAAACATACTTCAAATAGTTGTTTTTCAGCGGGAAACCACTTCCAGTCGAGTTCTCATTAAAAACTATCTGAAAACCTTTTCTACCTTTCATGCTTTTTTCCATGCCAAAAATCGAGTTTTCCAAAAAACTTGCGGAAAAAGACAAAAAATCATCGTTTCTAGTTTAACATTTTATTATACATATTTTATTCTATTTGACTATCTAAATTGCGTTCTTCTGCAAATGGAACACGTGCAACTCAATTTGTAAGTGATCAACTTTCATGACAATTTTACAGTAGACACAACTCTTTCTCCTCTATCTACTTCATGCATAAAAAGTTTGTTTTGGTTTTAATATGTTTGATTACGAGATTTATTAAAGCCATGCTTGAGGACGAAAAGCGTTAGTGGCGAATAATATTGTATAATAGGTTGGATAACATATGTATGGATAAATAAATAAGGTTTTAGTTTATTTTAGTTTTCAAGATGATTTTTGTAAAAGCCTTCTGGTAGTGTTTGAAGTGTTACCAATGCATTTATAAAATCTATATTTTTAACACGTAATTCTTGTGCCGAATATTCGTCTATTTCGAAAGTCCCACGTGCTAAAATATCTTGTCGAATAGCATTATTAGTTGCTGTACGCACAACTTGTTCAATATGTGCACCGGTCAAACCATTAGTTTCTGAAATAATTCTGTCAATTTCAATATCATCGTCTAAAATTCCATTTTGAAGCATTAATATCGTGTAGATATCGTATATTTTCAAACGACCTTCACTATCAGGCAGATCGATTTCAATCATTTGTTCTAATCGACCAGGTCTTGTGAGAGCCGGTTCAATTGAATCTTTCATATTTGTTGTGCCAATGATTAAAAAGTTATTAAGCTGACTGACACCATCAATCTTAGTTAATAATTGTGTGGTAATGCTATCCTGAACTGCATCTCGTGTACCGCTATCAACTGTTGATCGTCGCTTGCACAGCGCATCAATCTCGTCGAAAATAATAATATGAAGATTGCTATTTGTTCCAAAACTTTGTTCGTCTATTTCTGCTTCGCGAAATAACTCTCTTATTTTTGCTTCGGATTCTCCCGACATACTGCTGAATACTTCCGGACCATTCACTATTTTTGGTTTCACACCCAATATTTCACATATCGTTCGTGCAATTAATGTCTTTCCAGTCCCAGGTGGTCCATAGATCAACATACCACGTGAATGTTTCATTCCTGCTCTACCTACAAAATTTTGAGGATATAATCTTGATAATAGCACACTACCAAATATTTTTTCAAATGCACCATTACACCCTCCGACCTTTGTGTCAACATGGAACTTCTGGTTGATTAAATTAAACAGACTATGTTGTTGAACATGTTCATATGGTCGAACGTCATATGCTTGGTATAACTTAAGTTTGTGACGTTTTTGTTGACGCGAATTAAGGCCGACCACTTTTCTTGAGACAGAATAATTTGTTAACACTTGAAATAACCAACTACATTTAGAAATACAGCCATACAAAATCGAAGAACAAAGAAAACACCTGTTTTTATCGGACCAACAATGATACATTACAAGAACAATTCGGAAGCTTTTGAGGAATTATTAGGATATGTGAAACATAATATACTAAATCAGCAGTCGCTTGTTCTTGGTAGTGATACTGGGAGCGAGATAATAAAAGCTGTTGGTAAAATATTTCCAGATTCAATACATTTATATTGTACACGACATGTTAGACAGAGTATTGAAAGAAAACTAATAAAAACACAAGTTTCGTTAGAAAATCGTCAGAAATTATTGGAACTGATTTTTGATCTTCCCGAATCAATTATACAAGCAACAACAGATGACGAATTTGAAAGCAGATTAACTGAACTAGATGAATTATGGGATGAAATCACAAGTGGTGGTGAATTATCCCAAGACGATCGGTTTAATTTTCACGAATGGTTTGTAGAATATCAAGGTGAAAGTTTCCAACAACATATGATAGCAGCTGTTAGAACCAAAGCCGGTTATGTTAATCGTGATGATACTCCCCGTTTATTTTATAACAATGATAATGAAGGAATAAATTATGCCTTAAAGAATGAGACTAATTGGGATTTTCGGCCACTATCTGATATTATTGATTTAATCGAAAAAGTTGTTACCTCTCAAACCAATGAAACCATTCGTGCTTTGTACGAAAGTGGTGAATTTCAACTAATTTCTCCGTTCACAAGGTAAAACATTATGACTTTCATCTTTATAGAAAACTTTAAAAATATTCTCACTCTAGATTTGTCCATGATACCCATATTTGGTCAAACAAATCTGTTAAAGAACGAGCAGATGTTGTTAAACAATACTACGCATTCAGTCCGCCTCAAAGATATGTTAGTCCAGATTTTAATATCCCACTAACTGCGGGTAGAAAACCAGGCAAACGCAATCGACGAGGGACCACTAGATCTACCAGAACCGCAGCAACATTAACAGCACGATCCAAGAATAGAGGTGCAAAATCATCTCGAAAACTAAAATAAACTAAAACCTTATTTATTTATCCATACATATGTTATCCAACCTATTATACAATATTATTCGCCACTAACGCTTTTCGTCCTCAAGCATGGCTTTAATAAATCTCGTAATCAAA